TCCAATACAAACATCTAAAGATTCATAACTCAAGATGCATTTACTTGAGAAACAAAATGACTTATATTGACAAAAACACACACAATTAGAGGAGTTCTTGCTTACATTAATCAAACATCTCCCAATAGGGGTAAAAAAAAAATCTTATTTTCTGTTTGAATTGTTTCTGCTGAATATTTGATTTTATTAATTTTTTCACCCCATTGGTAGATGTTTTTTTTTTCATGTTTTAAGCACGTAATGTTTCAAGAAACTCTTCCAAACAGTCCAGTAAATTCAGCAGTTTGTCAGTTTAGATCTGCATCCGTCCAGATCAATTAGAAAACTCATTCAACATATATTTTCAGTTGTTCAATACTCACAAATCCAACATTTAGTTCCTCTCGAGTGACGGTTTCTCCCATGATGATTATTTTGTTTCTTCCTACAGAAACAAATCACACCGTCTGAAACGTCAAATAAAACCACTCGTATAATATTTAGTTTGACAAACAATATTAAGATTATATTAAAAACATTCTTTCACCATCTGAGAAAAGATTTTAAGCTTGATTTTGCATTCGTTTTATGAATAAAGTCTGGAGAAGATCCACGTTCGTCCACAATTACTGAACATTTGCTTGTTCACACACGGAAGGTTTCGGTGTCTGTTAATCTACCTCGTGTTTTTCTGAAGCAGGGTTATTACTGCGAACTAAAACCAAAACCATTAAAGAAAAAAAAAAACATTTCTGTTACTTGAAATTAAATGTTAATTTTTTTCCCAGCTAGTTTCCAATGCAACATTTCTCCTTTTCGTTTGAGTTGAAGTACTAAATAAATAATCATAACCAAATAATAATAATAATAATAACAAAAAATTAATAAATACTATATAAATAGTAAATAAAAATGATAAAAGCTGACAAAACACAACTACTAGAACTTTAAATTTAAAGTGTAAACAGTGTTTACATTTTAAGAACTAGAACTAATTCAAAATATTGCCAAAACCTATATAACAGTATATGAATGATACTAAACGAGCAGTAATTTGAAGCGACACGCTCTTGTTTTTGTGTGTGATGTTTCCAAATGTCAGACTCATGGTTTTCTGTTTCAGATCCTGCTTTAGTGTGAAACCGCTGAGAAGATCAAACCAACGGCTGACAAACACACCTGTGATATAAACACACACTCAACATCAGCAGCGTCACATGACTCACCGCCGTCTAGACCAGACCAGCGCTTCATACAAACACATCAGCACTGACTATTCACTCGTTCCTCTTTTGTAAGTCAGTTTGAATAAAAGTGTCTGCTGAATGAATACATGTAAATATTGTTGCTGTTGCATGTTTTCAGGCTCAGCAATGGATGCTCTGCAGTGAATGGGTGCCGTCAGAATGAGAGTCCAAACAGCTGATAAAAACATCACAATAATCCACAAGTAATCCACAGCACTCCAGTCCATCAGTTAACATCTGAAGAAGACAAAAGCTGAGACACATCCAGCATTAAGACGTTTTTAACTCAAATGCGAGTCTATAATCCATAATAACTTCCTCCAGTGAAAAAGTGTTCTGGTGTGAATCAGGAGAGAAATCTGCACAGATCAAGCAGCGTTTAAACAGCTCTAAACACATATGTGGCTGGATTTTGATGTGAGAGACAACAGCAGATGCACTTTTTCACTGGAGGAAGTGTTATTATGGATTATGGACTCAATGTATTTTAGTTAAAAACGTCTTAATGCTGGATGTGTTTCAGCTTTTGTCTTCTCCAGATGTTAACTGATGGACTGGAGTGCTGTGGATTACTTGTGGATTATTGTGATGTTTTTATCAGCTGTTTGGACTCTCATTCTGACGGCACCCATTCACTGCAGAGCATCCATTGCTGAGACACTGATGCAGTGCTACATAAAAAAAAAAAAAAAACATTTTTTAACTATGAAGGTGTTAAATCAGAGGGGAAAACACTAACAAACAGCAAACATTTCTTAATCTTAAATTTATTTCCTAAAAAGAAATGGAAACGAAATTACAAGCCACACAAATGTATCGCATCTTCACTATAGTTTACACTGTAACAAAAACACACAAACGTGAGAAAGAAAGAAAAGTGACACAAAACTAAAGCGCAGAATGTTTCACAGTAACCAGGTGAGTTTATAAATTAATACAGTCGTATGAATGTGCTACACGCTTTTCTGAAGACGATGGGCTCAAGTACTACTACAAACATGAATGTGACTCCTGCTTCATGCCGAGCGTTTCTGAGAGAGACGCATGAACGGGAAGATGCCTGTGAAGCAAAAACACAGGAGCTTCATCAAACTACAGGCCACTTTCACTCATCAGAGATCAGATCTCGATCTTCAGAGAGAGAGACGTTATTCCACATTCTGCAGGAGTTCAGGGAATGTTCCTCACAGATTAAACAAGGCCACTGAACAACTCACAGCAAACCTCTTCCTTCACACGCGGTCCAGCAGAAGAACCAAATCTGCAAACGAGCTTTACTTCAGCTTTCATAATGACTCCAGCTCAGAGGTTTGTCCGTGAGAAACACACAGAAAGCGTCTGTGACTCGCAAACAGACACTGGCTACCGTCTGAGAGAGGAACTTCAGTAATAATCCACAAGAAAATGCTGCATTACGACTCTTTCTTCAGAAATAAAGCGGATAAATCTCACGAAACATGTCCAGGCCATATTTCATCCTAAAATTAAACGGGGAAAAAAATTATAGTATTTTTCATAAAGAAGTAAAGCCTATTTTAAGCACGATTAAAAAATATATAAATAAAAATTATATCAGATTTTTTTTTGTTTTCATTTTAATTTTAGTTAAAGTTTTAGTAATTTTGATTTGATTTTTTATAAATGTCAAATTTTTTTTGTTTATTTCGTTTTAATTATTTTAGCACTTAAGTGTTATTTTAATGCCAAGTATTTTAGTACATCAAGATAAACTTTCAAATTTTAATTTTAAATGTTGCCTTGGCAACTAGCAGAAATAACAGTTTTTAGTATATTATAGTTTTTTTTTTTACTTGATGTACAAAAATAACAGAAACGGAAACAAAAATGCATAAAAAAAACAAATACAAAGAGACAAAACCCCCAAAATTACTACAAGTTGGTATTAATTTAGAATGTCTATATTTTTAAATAAATTATAGTTTATGAAAAATAACTTATTTTCACTAATAAATGTAATAATAAATTATAATATAGTATTTATTAATTATGAGACTTGGTTTTTACTTTTAGATTTTCTGTTTTCACACTCAAACACACACACACACACGGGGATGCGGTGCTGCGGGGCTCCTGGAGGCCCCTGAGGGCCCGAGCATGCCTGAGCAAAGCTGAATAATTCATGATGTCTGTGTGCTGGAAAGACGCGAGTCGAGATAAGAGAGTGAGTGTGTGTGTGTGTGTGTGTGTGTGTGTGTAGGG